TATGAGCTTTCTAATTGCTGGCAGTGGTGGTGTCTGTTCTAAGTCTCGTTTAGGCCTGGCCGACGACAGATTTAATATGCCAGGCATGTGCACTGCTGACTGCATGTGGTAGGCAGTTGGTTATTAAAACGATAGGCCAAAACGGATGTCCGTGACGCGGCTATAAAAAAAATGCCTAGCTCGCTGACATGATGGGGCATGCCACAGCCATGCGTCTGCATTGTCATGCAAGCTAATCAGGCTGTATTGTGTTTGTTGCAGAGACTTATCACCAAGGCTGTTGTTGCTGTTGGCATTATGGCCATATTAACGTGTATGCCCGTTTGTCATACTCGTGTGTGATGTAACTGCTTTCGCGAACTTGGCAACGCTTAAAGATCAGCGCCAATTTTGGACACTTCATGCCAAGCCAGTAACCTTGAGGAACAGGTTCAATATCCACACACCAGCAGATATATATGCGTTACATATATACAAGTATATGTATATACTCGTATAGTATATAATACGCGACAGATTTGTCCAAACAAATTTGTTGTTGTTTGAGGACGGAAAAACCACTCCACGCTTGCGTTTACCATGAAAAATGGCGCACAGGAAATGTGGTTGGCAAATTTCATTTCATTTCGTTTCGCTTACACAAAACCCATTTTGAGCTCATGTCTCAAAATTTTCTTGATATATTCGCATACAGCGACTTGCGAACCGGTTTTAATGATGAGGCACTCTACTCGAGCTATTCGCGCAGCTTTGAACGATTTATGAAGTCATCTTTGCGCTTAGCTTGGAATTTTTGCGCAAACTCAATGCCATATTGAAAACACATGAGCTTATTCTCAATATTTCAATTCCTTGAAACTCACCTTTTTGTTTTGTATATTATATATTGGAAGCGTCTCAAAGGCCAACGCTATATAAAATTCGTACAAAAATTTCAAGTTTTCTCCAACTTTGACGCTGTGCTTGTTTTGCGTAATCCAATTAGTTGTGTGGCTGTTGTTTTATGTTTTTATTTTTATTATTCAATTTTATTTGGCCAAATATACATATTTAATTTTTTGTTTGAATTTTTCAAATACAAGTATACCCGCTATTTTGTTTTCATTATTATTTGCATTATAGTTGATTTTTGCATTTACTTTCGACCTCTCGAGTTTTTCTTTTCCTTTATTTCTTAACGTCTACTTGTTGTGCATATTAAGGCTGTTGGTAAAAACAAAAAAAAAAGTTGAATAAGATAAGCAAACGGAGCTCAATGGCAGACTCGGGACATCTAAGAGCGCCAAGTAAGAGCGGAAACAATTTCAAAGACGCTCTTTGCAAAAAAACAAAAAACTGAATTCGACGCTGCCTGTTGTGGTTGTTAATGTTTAGTTCGTTAAAAAATATATAGCTTCATTATTGTTGTTGTTGTTGATGTTGCTTTTTTTGTTTATTTGTAGTTTATTTCGTGCACTTCCTTCATACTTGTATTAACTTGAAAAGATAACAAAAGTCAGTTGGAAGTTTGAAACTTTTAAACAATTTAGGGCTTCACTTCTTTAATTGAGAGTCCAACTCATTTGCCATGAAATTGCTGAAATTGCTGAAAGTCCAACCACCCGCCGAGCCTTTATAACTTGATGAACTCACAAGGGCAACAACAATCCAAATGCTGCGTGCAGCTTAGGCAACAGCAACAATAAAAAATTAGTAATAACAAAAACCAAAACCAAAACAACCACGAGAGCAACACTTTAAAGTTAAGCACTTAAAACGCATTTCAACATTTTCGGGCAAAGTTTACACGCAGCGTTGCAAATGCGTTTGCACGTCTCCAGTACGTGGAAGTCAATTAGAACTGGAATCGTTTGATTTGATGCGGCATTCGTTTTTAATTAGATCAGATCCGATATTCTTACACTCTATTCGGTTAAACACTTTGCGACGCATCCGCCATCAAGTCATAACTGGCGCGCACGCGCGTTCGTTTTGCTCGCGTTTCTATTTTGTGATGTGCCTCGCACACCAACCTGGCTAAGACTGAAGCGTGCACTCGCACTCCGACTCTGGTTGCGGCCAAGTCGAAAAGTCAAGACGAGTGCGAGTGCGAGTCGAGTTGAGTTGAGCTAAGTCGAGCGAGTGAGTATCGAACCGGTCTTGCCAAGTTTCGGAGTAATTGGCAAAGTCGCTCTTATTGGCATCTATCTGAGCGACTGTTGCTCTTCTGGCTTCTTGACTTACAATGGTTATGTCGTTTTAGTATTGCTGTTGCTGTTGGTGTTGGCAGTTTTCCAGCAACAACAATTATAACAAGAAGTACGGGTGTAATAACAACAGATACGACACACCGCCGGTTGCACTTGGAGCCCTAAGTTCCGCTCGGCTGACGCTCTTTCTACACCACTTGCCGAGATTGTCTTTCTAATGAATGTTTTTTTTTTAATTTTTTGTATACAGACTCGGAACCTGGCACATAATTATAGCTTCGGGCTGGTCATCGCTTGATACCGACACCCAAACATGTGATATGTGCCTCACATGCGCCTCAACTCGTTATGCTTGACATATTTCCCTGTAGTTGTCTGTCGATGTCGGTTTCTATACCTGGCCAATTGGCTAAGCCGACTTCCAGGCGACTTCTCTATATAGCACATTATCAGCTTTGTAGACCCTCTCCGCGAATGCAACGCCACAGACATGCCACTCCAAACTGGTCTCTGGTGATATAATCACAGCCCCCTTGCATTCTGCTCAACCACACCATTGAGCGTTTGGCAGTTTGCTCAAAATTGACGGCATTTTGTTGGCAATACGCGAGCCTCAGCCACTCTTACGATGTGTGGGCTGTCACTAGAATGCCTTGATGACGGCATATATAGACAGACAGCACCGTGCTAAGCGTCACCGACTCTTAATGTGGCCGCAATGCGTTGGCCATAAATTGTCTTCGACTTGCATTTACATTTTAGTAATACACCCAGCGTTCGCTCCTTGGGATGTGCACCTTGAAGATTCTGCTTCCATAACCTCAGGTAGTTGCAGCTCAACTCTTCTCACCCCTCCCCACTCAACACTTCTTTAAACAACGATGACGCTAACAAAGAACCCTGGGTACTGACTGTCCGTCGCTGTCGTTCTCACACAGCAATTGTTGTCGTTTCCTATTAACTTGTCCGTTTCTATTTATACTTTAACTTATACCAATATTTATTATTACCATGCATGCTAGGCATTTTTCTTATTCGACAGACGAGCAAACTGAGAGCAGAACATTCCGTGAACGTGCCGGAATTTCTTTCGATCGTTATGTGTGCCTCTCACTATGGAGCGCGTTAGGGCCCGTATGGAATTATGTATAAAAATGTCCGATATCCTAACGACATCCTGCAAATGCACATTACAATTTTCAAATTCCTGAGAATCATATTTAAAATTAGATATAGATGGTGCTGGAATGGCATATTTTATGCTTTTTACGTAAAATAATGAGGGACTGCAAATAATGATTATTTTGTTTTTAAAGCGAAAAAAATCATTACAGTATCTTTAAGAAACAGAGGATAATGCCAATCTCTTTTTTTATGATTATCAATGCATATTCACTATGATTTACAAATTTTTATTCCTTTTCTCACAACATAATGATTAAATTTAGGTGAACTTTACAACTCAATTTATAATCATTATTCTTAAGCAAAAAAATAAAAACAAAAATAATGATTATTAAGTTTTATTTGTTGATCAAAAATAAAACTCAAGTTTTAAAAAATAATTATTATTTTGTAATTTTTAGAATAACACTAATAATAATTACAGTCCCTGAAAATAAGTTCTTTTTCAAATCCCTTTTTTCGTACGTAGGCGAATTGCATCAAATAAATAAATATAACATCTATTTCTCTTTTATGGTGCAGTGTTTGTAACACCCATAAGAAGCACTTTTCTTAGGTACATACTACATACATACATATATGACGAACTTAAATCGCTCTCTGTTTCTGTCACTTCTCTGATTAGTTTGGGAGCAATCATGTGGAATATTTGCACCGATGCTTTTATTTTACTGTCAGTACGTATATGTCGATACTGACTATTATAGATCACTATATCCTATAGATGTCACAGAATAGAAACGATTTAGAAAGAGTTATTGTATGAACAATTATTTAGTTTTTGTTAAGATACTGGCACTAAATTTTTTGGAATATTAAATTCTATCAAACCATTATACAAAGATTGGTTTTGTCATTCTGATCAAACATATGTATTACCTTTATTTTGATTTTATAATTTCTGCGCAGACAGTCATATAGTATGTAGGTTCTTAGTTCTTTTTATTGATTTCTTTTGCTTTAGTATTTCTGGCTAACAGAACTTCCAATATTTTAGCCTTTCATAAAAATTTTCGATGTGACAAGCAGATTTTTCGAAGGTTAAAATCTTAAAAATTTTATAACAACTCACACGTCTTCATTACATCATGCTACTCGTATTCTAATAAGCTTGAAAAAATCGAATGACCAGCCCACATCGATCATTGATCTTTTTGCTAAAAACTTGGCGCCCACACATACTCGCCAATACGCAGCACAAGCAGCCAGACGACTGTCATCATCTGAGCGTGGGCCAAAGCACGGAAAAAACTCCACAAGTTCATAAATTTGTCAGCTAACGGCCTGACAGCCAAACATCATCTATCAGCAGGCAAGTCTGCCACCCACACAGGCCGCGCTAGCAACAGTCGCCAGCTAATCGATGTTTACAAAACAAACCCCCATTGTGAGACGCCTCCCACCCTTCCTGTCACCCTGTCAATGTCACTGAGCTTCCTGAAACTCCCAGAACTGCCGTTCGAACCGCCGGCCGGCTAGAGTGCAGGTAGCCAAGGGTAACTGACCGAAAATTTATTTACTTTAGTTTATTATCGCCCCCAAATCAAATGAACTGTGTGTTTTGCTTCACACAAGATACATATGTACGTAAAACACATTTATTCAGATAGATTCGAAATCCACTAGGTTGGTCGGTCGTATGCAAGTTTACGTTTCTATTCTGATGCTAAATTCCTGTCATGGCTGAACTGCTCTCACGTGAAAAAGAACTCTTTAAGCTCAATCAGGAGCTCAACTTTATGGCCGACAATCCATTGGAGGCTTCTGCCACCTATCCAATGGTTAAGACTGGCGGCGGCAGTGTTGACAAGACGGCGACAATCGTGTTGCAAGAGCCGCGTTACGGCACCTTTCACAAGCAGAAGGGACCGAGCACCCTACTTAAAAGGAAGGGTGTGGGTGAGACGCAAGGAGGCAAACCGAACACAACAGATCCAGTCGCCGATCGCACATTTATGCGCTGGACACAGAAGCAGAGGGCAACGTTGCCAACTCGCCTAACCGCATCGCCCACCAAGAAAATGGCAACAACTGCCGGAAGACCAGTGTCGACTTCGGTATTGGCTAACTCGGGAAATGCAGCGCCTGCACCGCTTCCAGTAACTAAGACGAAGATCCTGAGCAGTAATGGGGCCAACCCAACGGCCCAAAACGAGAGCAAGTATAGCACATACACGCGTGGCCAGGTAAGTAAGACAGCCACGTATGTGAAGTTCCGAAATCCGAAGTTTACCGAGAGTCGCTCTTTGGAGGACATTATACGCAATGCGGATGAGTCGCAGGTGGTCGAAGTGGAGATTACGCAGCAGCGTGAGAGCACAACCGTGGTTAATGGCAATGCCAAAAAGCAGCTTACACAGGATAACTTTATCAAGTGAGTTGGAGATACTTAAAACGAATTTTCTCTAGTTAATGGTTTCGAAGTAAATTTAAGATTCATCTTTAAGTTGACTTAACCAAAATAAATTGGCGGATTTCGATTCAATACCTAAATATGTAAACTTGTTAAGCACATATACATACATATATTCGACATTGTCCAATATTAAGCAGATTTACTTAATATTAACTGCTTTTACTTCGGTCAAATCGTATGTCTATAGATTTGGAGCAACGAATACACATGTATATATGCAAAGCAAATACTCCCTAAAACACAATCCAATCCCTTTGTCTTTTCGCAGATTTCTCAAAGCAAAGGTAGCTATACTCGAGGAGGATCATGCTAGAATCAGCCAGAGCATGGCCGAGCACAAGGAACGACTCGAACAGGCCGTGGAGGCGCAACGACGCGCCGATAGCCAGCGAGATCACGCTCTCAATTCGAACAAACAGTTGTCGGAACAGCTTCGCCGGGCAGAACAGCAAACCGAGGACGCGAATCGACGTCACAAGGAAGGGCAGATTGAGTCCTCCAATCAGCAGCGTGAATTCGAGCAAATTAAACGTGAAGTGCGCCTTTTGAAGCAAACGAATACCAATCTGGAGAATCGTTTGGCGAGCGCCCAGGAGGAGATGGAGGGCCTACGTCAGACAATGAGCAAGCTGCGTGGCGAACAGCGCGAGGAAAAGGAGAAGACGCGCAACGAGCTGGATATAAAAGAAAAGCGTATCAAGGCGTTGAAGAGGCAACGGGCAGATCTCCTCAATGCTTACAAGAAGCAACTCTATCTAATAGACAATTTGAAGAGGCAGACCACTTGTTTAGAGCAATCTGTGGGCATTGGTTTCGGGGAGAAGGAATTCAATAAGGTGCTCGACTGGAACACCAAAGCATGAAAATTATAATCATGAGACACACACCCCCACACACATGTGCAGATTTTTACTTTTGGATATAATGACCTTATTGTAATTAAATTTTAGTTGATTTTAAGACAAATCCCAAAGCAATTTTATTTCCAATTACCGCGCTAGCCACTTAATTAGAACAGAGAGCAGCTGCACTGTAAAAGCAGAATATAAAAGCAGCTCGTTGAACAAGCATGGTCATAGTCTTAGAGACACACTCCTGAGGTGCACACATCAGAGAACAAAGCACAGCCAGAGACGCAAACACTGCCCTCTTATTCCAAAGACTGCAAAATGGCCGCACTACGATGCACATTGACTCTACTCTTGGTTACGATTATAGTGGCTGCTATATTGCTTCACAGCAGCGAGGCCGCCTACCGGAAGCCCCCTTTCAACGGCAGCATCTTTGGCAAACGCAATGCGCTGGGTGAGACAATTCAAAAATTGTATAGCTTATCAATTAATTTGCATTTATTACGGCTAGACTATGACAATGCCAAATCGATGGGAGCTGTATGCGAAGTGGCAATGGAAGCTTGCCAGTCGTGGTTTCCCCAAAATGACAGCAAATAGGAGCATGAGTTTATATTCGGACTTTTCGGACTGATCTTAGGCCTAACTAATGAAGTACACCAGATATTGAATGCGACCGCATGCTGCTTGAACACAAATAGAAAGGGGGAAACACAGCACGCAAAATTAAACAAAATACTCATCAAATGTTAAGTGTAAGCTCCACGATACGTAAACCAATACTCATATATGTATATGCATATTTAATAAAATAATGAAGGGCAAAGAACTCACTTCTGTTTTAATACAAAATATTTTCAGTACGTAGCGTAAAATTCATGAGATACAATTACTTGAAAATACAAATTAATAATGATTTATGAATTGAGTTAGAATGCACACTTGCAAAAATTGATTATCTTATGATATATGTATGTATGTATTTACATTGAATGCAGCTGACCATTGTCCAACTGGCCAACGGAGAAGTTATACTCGAGGCACTCTTTTACGTCGTTGTCGCAATTCATTCACATGCTTGCGCAAATAAGTCATATAATCTGTCATGGTCGAAGTAAGAGCCTGCCAAATATGTATATGTTTTAAATATTTTTAACCAAATATCTGACACCAAAAAGACTTACCGCATCCAGAACATAACGCGGTATGTAGCCCTTCAAGTCCAGACATAGCACCCATTCGACAATACACGCATCCGATTTACCCACAATTTCACGAAACGCAAAACCAGAAACAATATTCTCTCCTCTACAAGTTCAGAAACATACGATTATGAAATCAAAGAAACTTAAAGTGTTGTGTCGCATATACCTCGTGTATTTTGATGTGGGCGGCACCGCTGGATATTCCACACTAATGGCTGCGCTCACCCAAACCTTATCTTTCGTCTTTCCTACACTGTCGCTTAAAGTGGTTTTTGTCATTTCGGCGGCCAAATCATCCTCAGCCTTGTCTTTGGCATCCTCAAACTGCTCATCCAATGGTGGCGGTTCTTCATCATAATTTAAGACAGGCGCACCAGTGAAACCCTTAGCCCCTAAACTTTTGCTCAATGTTTGAAATGTCGTTGTAGTTGCCGCTAAATTGTCCTCGCGCTGATATGAGCTCTGCTGCGGAAACTTGCCGCGTAAGCTGCCTACACTTCCGGGCAATGGAGTTTGGGATTCAGCATCCGATAAAGTAGACACGCTGCCTTCACAAGAATTATTGCCGATATCGTCGTCGCTGCTCAAAAGAGCCGCCTCCTCATCATCACAAATTCTGCCATTGTGAAACAAACGAAAAGAGCGCAAATTGACAAAATCACGACTTTTCACCATGCCGCCGCCTCCGCCAACGGAGACCTGATACGTAATATCCGTGTACGAGTTGACTTTCTACGGAAATTAATATTGAGTAAAGTTTAAAGTTGTTACCTTATTAATATTCTACAACTTACACGGACTATTTTTGACTCCAAGAGCGTAGGATTCCACTTGGGAACATCTTCGATGCGGTAGAATAGCTCCTCCATTAGAGCCTTGGCGGGATATTTGATACGACCCTGAAGTTGAATCACACCAATTTAATAATCAAATACTTTCCATATCACTATTTTTTACTTACGGTCAATTTGAAAATTTTGCCAATTTTATCACGCTGTGTACTGTGTATAGTATCGCCTTTCGGTGTCACCTTTTCAACTTTCCAATCAGAAGACTCAATAAGCTTGTAAGCCTTCCGCAGACTATCTAGGCCCATTTGATGATAATCCTCATCCTAAAAGTATGAAGAGAATAACTTTGAATAATTGAAAAGCCACTCATTGCCCTGATCACTACCGATGGCATGTTTGTTATACGTAAGCGGTCTCGCAGAGCAGCTTCTTTTATAGACGCAAAAGCATTAAAATTTTTGTAAATTTAAAACGCGTTTTAAAAATGCGCATTTTTTTCAATTTACCTTTTCGTCCTCGTCATCGGAGGGGTGTGCAGTATCGTAGGGTGAATAGAAAGTAGATACCGGCTGCCGCTCGTGCTCAGTCAAAAGCGTCGGCTGTACCAATGGTGTGCGATCATTCGAGGTCAAAGCTGTGTACCAATAACAAACCGAGTTCAAAACATAAGGCAAGAATAGGACTGACAGACAGTCTTACCTCTGAAATAGTGGCGCGCATGCCGTTCTTGCGGAATAACACGGCAATCAAGAAACCAGGCCTCTCCCCAAGCAAGAATGAACGATGTTATAATGAGTATCACTTCGAATACTTGTTGCTTGGAATGTACCCACTAAAAACATAAACCGAATCTGAAGATGTTATGCTATAGTTGTACAAATATAAGAAAGTAACTTACATCAAACACAAATACTTTGGAAATAAGAAACAAACAAGAGCCACTGGTAGAAAGCTGCAAGAAGTAAAAAATGTCTTAGCTGTAATTCCGATTTGCGCACTGCAAGAAATTCTCACCGCTATTATGGACCAATGATTTATATACAACATAGCATAAAAAAATATCAAAACTATAAAACGGCACAATGCCGTGGCCACCACATCAAAGAGCGATGTATAAATTGTGTATTGCAGTACTTGTTTCTGGAAAGCGTGAAAAATATTGTCGCCATCGATCTAAAGAAAAGAGAAGGAAATTAGCATTTATGTATGTTTATGTACATATATAAGCAGAGCGCACATACAACTATGCAAATCAGCCACAGCAGCGATACGAATATCAAATCGAACGTCACAAAAAGGCAAAAGAAGCGACGCACTACCGACATGCGTCCATCCTGACTGTAGCCTCCAAGAAACTCCTCCGTAATCAAATTTATGGAATGCGTCCGTGCTGCAAAATGTGTAATTAATAGTGGTACTTCTACATTTTATGTTTAATTGGTAATTACACATATCAAAAGTTGGTGGCATATTGTACATGTTACCGCCTGATCGCGCATTTGTTATTAGTAGATGCGCAGCACTCCGCACGTCGTCTGAATCATTTTGAGACATGGTCGATTCGAGATTAGCTCATATTTGCCGAATTCTTAAGCCTTTAGAAATAGAAATAATAGCTTTTAGTAGTTCTAATATCGGTCAATTGTAAACAATAGGATTTGGTTTCAACAGCAATCACTGATAACAATTACCAATAAGAGCTTTGCAATGACTAATTCTATAGCATTAAATTGCGTACATACATATGTATGCATTTAAAATATGCAAGCCTAGTTTTAAGTCGATGCTTCGCATATTTGGCATTCATGTACCGCCCACTTACAAGCCGTTTGCCATCAGATCTGTTTACTTCACAAACAAATCCCGCAATAGCTACTGCCTTTGTTTAATGATTTTGAAGTCCTAACAAAATTTTACTTGCAGCTGACACAATACAGAGGCGGGCTATCCACTGTTTACCAAATTACCTTAATATCAGTTTGCCTTATATGCCTATCGTGATTAATTATAAGAACACTTAAGCATTGGCTTGTTATTAAATACAGCTAATATACGAATATTCTTTTCTTGCAATAATAATGGAGCAAGGCAGTGTGTGCACAACCAAAGCACGGGAAATAAAATTGCTACAGCTGATCAACAGCGTTGCCAGTGTGTTGAAAATGAAACGCGCGAATAGGTTTTTTTTTAAATTTACAATTTTATTAACGCTACCTTGTATATTTTACCTAATTACTTAAATGAATAGAAATTATTTTTATATCATCATAAGGTTTGTCCGTTTTTGGATTGGCCTTCGAATTGCATATATTGAGAACCACTTCCATGCCACGGTACACTCGTCCAAACACCGTGTGCTTGTTATCCAGCCAAGGCTATGAATAAACATATAAATAAGTCCAACAAAAATTTATGAAGAAAACTCAATTTTTACATACCGTTGGCAGGACAGTTATGAAGAATTGGCTTCCATTAGTATTGGGTCCAGCATTGGCCATGCTTACAGTATACGGGCGATCGTGCCTTAAGCTTGGCACAAATTCGTCCTTAAAATCATTGCCCCAAATTGATTTTCCGCCAGTTCCCGTGCCCGTAGGATCACCTGTTTGCACCATAAAACCCTTGATGACACGGTGGAATATATGTCCGTTGTAGTATCTGAAATCAACACATAATTATAATGCATAATCAATTATAATATATGATTGTGGTGTTTTACCCGTTCTTAGCATGCACACAAAAATTTTCAACAGTTTTCGGTACTTCTTTAAAGAATAATTTCATGTGTATGTCTCCTTTAGTGGTATGTAGCACTACATTTTCGTAGATACGTTGGACGACTGAAAAGTATTTAAAATTGGTTATAATTAACTGCACAAGAGGCAACAAAAATAAATGCAAAAAACCTTCATCTTTATATTGTTAGCGTGTAATGATCGAATCAAAGAGTTAGTGGATTCATTGATCAGCAAAAAATAACAAATTACCTTGTGCCTCTGGAACAGCAATAATGTCTTCTTTGGAAGGCTTCTCATTGAAAATGTCACGATCAACATCTTGCAGATCAGAAGGCAACCGTCTGCTAAAGAGATAAAAACGGTTTTTTCTGGAAAATAAAGGCAAACCATTTTATGATATATTTTTAAATTTATGATTTAACCCACTTGTAGGCTGTGCAAAATGCTGTCGGATCATTTAGCAGATTCTGAAGTGCAGGGTTTTCGCTTGCCTCTTGTTCAAGCGTTATGGCCGCCTTCTGTCTTCTGACTCTGCCCTGGAAGAGTGCCACTTGCAAAGGTCTTATGTTATCAGTCTTGCCCAAAATAGCAACGCATCGATTCGTGGCAACATTTATTACTTTAATACCTAACATTGTGGGATACAACAAAAAATGACCGGTGACATCGAACAGAATATTGAGCGTTGAATTTTGCGCCGTTTTTTCAAGATCACGTTCCGCAGCCATTCTGAAAAAAAAAAAAAAAAAAAAACACTATATCGTACTTAATTTGTTTAAAGCACATGAGAATTACCGTCTACCAAATTCCATATTTGGTAGCGCATGAGGTGTCTGCTGCATCTGTGTATACGTGGCTAGGGATTCGTCCAAGACAAGTATCATTTTACCCGTATTGAACTGAAATACACGCACTTTGCGATCAGTTGAGATTGCTGCAAAGCGCTTACCATTAGGCGTCGCAGATAGGCCGGTTACTTGGGTCTTTTGCTTAGCAAATTCATACAGACCTGCAATCAATCGAGCATTTTACAATATTTATATGATAAAATTAAATGCATCTATTTACTCACTTGTGTCTAGTTTTGAGTCAAAAGTGACTAAGCGTTGGGGAAACTTGTAATCGTGTTTGCAATTCTGCCAATATTCCAATATCCCATTCCGATCCACAGAAATAACAGTTTCCATAGCTAAATTAAAGCACATGGCCAAAACGGGCGCTGAATGCAATTTGTCTAGAATTTTAAGCGAATCACCTCCGCTTTGACCATCGTATATGTGTATACTGTTGCTGTCTGCATCAGAACTATAAGTACATCGAAGTATGATTAACATATCTTTAAACGTATATAAATGACAAGTTATCTTACATGGCTAGTCCCTGAACCGCATCGCCTGGCGAATGTATCCATTCACTACAGAGTGGTGTGTATCCCAATCTGATTATATTAATCATGTCAAAGTTGACCACATCAAATACCTTCGCTGTTTGATCGGTAGCTGCTGAGCACAACATTGTGCCACTGCAATTTGTGGTAAGCGATTTAATGGGCACTGTGAAGAAACAAAAATGAATTAGGAACTATCCACTTTTTGCTTTGAAACCTGCATTGCCTTACCAAGATGGCTGCGAAAGTGCTTTACAAACTCAATGCCTTGGTCCATTTTCTTCCAAAACTTTATATGGCCATCTATACTGGCCGTCACCAGAAATTCCGTCTTGGTGCACACCAAGTGTGTAATGACGTCACGATGCATGTAGCTGCGTTCGTAACTCTCAGCATTTGGCAGATTTTCCAGGTAAATGTTCTCGTAAGGCAGAACTAGGCCAAATAATATTATATTGTTTAATAGCTTATATGTATGAGTCGTTGCTACATTTACCTTTTCTTTTCTTAGCCGGCGTGGCGTCGGTCTGCTCGGAGGGTAGAGGACCAATCCAACCGCCGTCCTCTTCTTCTGCTGCATCTGCCACATCGGATGATATATCTGTGGGCGCACTGCGTTTCAGGTCATCTAAGTGGTTTTCCTGTTCGCTCATTTTTCGGCTATCTGTTTTTAACTCGAATACTGAAGCAAACGTGCAATAAACAAGCGAAATTTTGGGAGTGCTGCCACATAGTTGGAAAATAACAATGTTGCTTTAGTGGTTTTTCAACAGCTGCTTTACACCGTTCCCGCCGAATGTCAAATTGTGACAAGTTCTGGCGTTTGCATTCACAAAAATAGCAAACATAACAAGGAACGGATTTAAATAAGCTTGTGTTTTTCATAATTGTAAATAAAAAAATGCAAAAATCAGGCGATGAAGAAAATTCAGATTTTAGTCGAAACGCGACTAATAAGAGCAACGACGGTGACGACGGCGGTGGTGGAGGGGGCCCTAATGGTGTTGTTGTTAGCGCTGCACTCGGGGTAGCAGAGACACGCATACGAATCAATAAATGGCGCGTACGCGAAGGAAATCCTGTCTCTGCTGCGCAAATCCTGTTTCTGTACCAGGAAGTTGGCGAAGATGATAAACCAAGTGCGAGCAACCCAACGGTGCTAAAATTCAAGGCAAAGCGCGCTGGCGTTGTCAAAAAGCGCCTACGCAAGGAAGGCGACATTGTTGGGAAGGGGTGAGTTTTGCATAGGCCCAAGCTGCTGCTGCGCGGGTGGGTGGCTTTGTGGGTGGAATGCAATTATGCACACCTCAGCTCAGATGAACGTATACATAAAATTTTTGCTTATTTTTGTTTTTCACTTAGGGATGCACTTTTGGAGTTGTCGGAATGCATACACACAACAGTAATCAAGGACATGTGCGCGGACTGCGGTGCTGACTTGCGCCACAATGACAATGTAAGCGCGGTTCTTTGAGAGAACTCCAAAGCAAAGAGCTAATTAATATATAGATAATAATTCATGTTTTCTTTATCGAAAAGGGTAAAATATCCGAGGCATCTGTACCGATGGTCCATACAATGCCCGATTTGAAGGTCACACAGAAACTGGCACAGAAATTGGGCCACGATGACACACGTCGCTTGCTAGCCGACCGAAAGCTTGTGCTATTGGTGGATCTCGACCAGACAGTTATACACACAACCAACGACACGGTGCCGGATAACATAAAGGGCATCTACCATTTCCAGTTGTACGGTCCTCAGTCGCCTTGGTACCACACTCGTCTGCGTCCGGGCACCGCTGAATTTTTGGAACGAATGTCAAAACTGTACGAGTTGCACATCTGTACATTTGGCGCTCGGAATTACGCCCACATGATTGCTCAATTACTTGATCCGGATGGAAAATTTTTCTCTCATCGCATACTGTCGCGTGATGAATGTTTCAATGCGACGAGTAAGACAGACAACTTGAAGTGAGTTTACTTAGCCAAATGCACGACATTATATACTATCTTTGAGCTTAAATTTCAGAGCACTTTTCCCAAATGGCGATTCCATGGTTTGCATCATCGATGATCGTGAGGATGTTTGGAACATGGCGTCTAATCTAATCCAAGTAAAACCATACCATTTCTTTCAACATACCGGCGACATCAATGCACCACCGGGACTATCCAAACATGAGCTCGACGGCGAAGGCGTAGATTTTAAAGGTAAACGTAGTGCAGATTTCAATTAAAACGAATAAAATATGCATTTAAAAAAATAGAAATTGACAAAATTGCTGAAAAAAAATCTGAAAAAGAAGAATCAACTGTAAACAGCACGGATGATGAGCCAAAGGCGTCGCACAGCGAAACCAAAAGTGATGATAGCGATAAAAGCGACAATACAGTGTCGAGCACAAGCAAGGATGATGAAGAATCTGTAGATGTATTTGAGTTGGAAACCGACACAAAAAATTCCAACTCTAAAGAAACTAGTATAAATACGGACAAATTAAATGGCAAAACGGCCGCAGACGATATCATGGTTATAGATGATGATTCTTTGAGTTCACCCGTGGAAGTTACGCCCGCAAAACAGGACAATGAAGTTATTATCGTGATCGATGACGTTCCCTCCGAGAGTTCAAAAGAAAGCACAAGTAATATAATTCAAAGCGATGTGGAAGCAGAAAATTCAGCTAAACAAACCGATAAAGACACCTTGGAGTCCACGGATACGCCTAAGCCATCTGTAATAAGCAAAGCAGAGTGCGACAGCAAAACCTCATCAACATATTCAACAGATAAGAGCAGCGCCGAAGCTGAAGATTCGACGAAATCAAGCGAGAATACATTTGATACCGATGATGTGCCCAGTACATCAAAGAATGCTTCTGTTGTAAAAGTTACAACAGATGGGCAAAAGCAAATCGAGATAGAAGATCCCGATGACTATTTACTATACTTAGAAGTTATCCTGACCAACATCCATAAACGCTTCTATACCATTTATGATGAGACCATGGAAATTCCGGACTTAAAGATCATAGTTCCGAAAATCCGCAGCGAGGTCCTGCGTGGTACAAATCTAGTCTTCTCCGGTCTAGTGCCTATGAATGGTGCACGACTGGAGCAATCGCGAGCCTACTTTATAGCAAAAAGCTTAGGGGCAGAGGTTCATTCTAATATCAATAAAGATATCACACATCTAGTGGCTGTAAATGCGGGCACGTATAAAGTGAATGCTGCGAAGAAGGAACCCAACATAAAAGTGGTTAATGCTAATTGGCTGTGGGCTTGCGCTGAGCGCTGGGAGCATGTGGAGGAGAAACTTTTTCCATTAGATCGCAAAGTAAGAAACAAGGGACGCCAACCACCTGCACATTGCCATAGTCCTGAACATGTGGTTAACTATAGTGAACGATCGGAGATATCGCCATCGAGCAGCATGCAACAGCAGGAGCAGAGTGGAAACTTTCGCGAGACATTGAACCCGCTTCTGGTGTTCACCAATGCGGATATAGAATCGATGAATAAGGATTACGAGACCTTCTTTGAATCAGATTCGTCAAGCGACGAAGGACCGGTGACTTTTGGTAAGCAATATCGTGTTCTTAACATTATTTAATTGTCTTTTGACGCATATTGCTTTCCTTTTAACAGAAAACCCCCCCATGGACAAAAACTTGCTCAAGCGAAAGCGCGAAGACGATAACTCAAATCGAGCGCATGACTTCTTTACACGTACAGAGGATGTAATGATTGGTGCCACGAGCAGAACACCGGTCGACTTCGATAAGAGTTCCAATGAGGGTGATGATAATATAGAGGAAGATGACGATGGCGAAGAAGATGATGATGATATACCAAGCGCTAAATTTCGCAGAGGTAAGCGGGGATCACTTTGAGTTAGAACTATTAGATCTCGATTTCTTGTGCTCCTCAGGTGAAGAATTGCCATCCGATTTGGAAATGGGCTCTGACTCAAATAGCGAAAACAATCCGGAGGACGAAGATGACGGTGAATGGAATATGATGGGAGCTGCATTAGAACGCGAATTCCTGGGTCTGGAGGATTAGCTATTTGACTTGGACTTTGCTATGTAGAGTTTCTGCGATGCCCTTGAAGATAATGGTGAATGGCGTATAAGTGCCGCATTGGAACGTGAACTACTTGGACTTAAAGATTAGATGTTTTACCTTTCAATGTACCTACTCTTCTCATCTCTTAATTAAAATAGCGTTGGTGTTGCAAAACCCACAAAGCAATAGGCAACACAAGCACATAAGAAAAAAGTTATATTGTATTTAGAATATCTTTATGATGTGTAAGTATGCGTAAGATATGCACTGTATGCAATAGTATTACCGTTAAAAATGCATTAAGATTTCCATCATCAATATTTGCTGTACATGTGTAAGTACGGCGAATAAAATTTCCATCTACATTTTAAATCAAAATATCTCGCTGTAAGTAAATTAAATGTATGTAAATGTTTTAAAAATAAATTCCGTTGAAACGGATTAGTAATTAGTGTTTAATTTAAATACGTACAACTGCAATTGTTTATTGTTTACGTTGAGTTTGTAAAACAAAACCACAAAAAAAACAACTTAAATTTCCTTTATAAATAAATGTAAATGTATGTACGAATGCTAAGTTTTGTTCAAGGCGCGCTGCTGCTTAAATCGGCTGATGCGTTTCTTAGGTGTATGTGCATCGATAAACTTGCCGTTGGGCAGCGGCTCTGGTGCAGTGGGCTCCTTTTCAACCAAATCGTGCATTACCTGAAATCAATGAGAGCGTGCTTACTTTAGTGATCTCTAGCATGCAATACAAATCACATTATTCTTACTTTGTAGTAGGCACTCAAGTCGCCTATATCATCGTCTATGGTGCGTTCCTTTTTCTTTTGCTTCTTGCCATTTTTACTCTTGCTTACATTCTCTTTGGTACGTGGTTCACGTTCGACTGCAGCTTTATTGCGCAAAATTGACTTCGATTGAGGAGTTGGAACAGATTCATGAGACTTCTCATGAGTCGCTTGCGGATTGGAGAACTGAAGTGATTGGTTTATGACAGTGAATGCGGTTTATTGGCGTCATTACATTTACCTGAGTGCGTGGATCGCCGTAAGCCTCTGAACGCGCAGCTTCATTGAGTATAGGTACCTTGAGTTGGTCTTCGCCCTCAAAACTGTTTACGTATATGGGAAAACTATGCTGGTCTTGCTCCAGACATTTTCTGTAAATTGTATAAAAATCCGCTGGTGTCCCGGGAGTGTCCTCGTCCTGATCATTTACGGAAGCGACGGCAGGTGCAGCATCGGAATGGTGGAAGTCTATGTGTAAAGTGTTGATACGCCCCGTGGATTGCTCTAGTATTTGATTAACCAGGTCGAAATCTTTAACGCTTTGATTTTCTTTTACAAACTCTATGTTTTCTTCAACTTTCTTTAGAATATCAGAACTGCCAGCTACCGGAGACCCATTCAGTTTGGCATCATGTGGGAATGTCTGCACATGATGCAAGGATGTATCTAGATGTATAATATCACGAGAATGTGTTGTGGCGTTCGTTAACATCTCAGCAACAGTTTCATTTTGTCTAAATTCTAGCTTCTCCTCAGACATAGCAAAGGATATGCGCCGCTTTTTATTATTTGGGGCATTTTCGACTACACTTTCGGATTCGCACTCAGTTAATGGCTCTCCATCAGCTTCTATCTCATCACCAATATTTTCTTGCTCAAATATCAGTCCCTGTAAATCATCTTCCAGGTAAACTAAAACATCCATTAAATGTGTCAGTTCATCGCTTATGGTATTATCACGTTGTATTTTTCGCATTTTTGCTCGTAATATACTTAGTTGTGATGTTAAGAATTCGACACGTTCTTCAATTGGCAATAGTTCGATTTGGTTTCGTATTAACTGAACTTCCTCTGGCTCACCACCATCGGTTTCAATGTACACTTCCTCGTCGTTATCATTCCTGTTGCTGACTTCCACACCCTGCGTTTGATTTTGAACTCGCCCAATGCGCGTTTTTTCTCCCGGAACTTTTACTTGGTTCGACATCAGATTGTGCACTAGGTCATTAGTGCCTTTTAGGCTTTCTTCAGCCTCAGCACTGATATCTGCAAGGTCATTCCGTTCTTGAGCTTCGAGTCTCTCTAATATATCAAACACCTGCTCGTCCGTCATATGTTTAGCAGCTTCTTTATCACAGTCGTTAGATTCTATAGTATTCACCTGCTCAACTTCAAGTGGAACACTCACTCCTTTACATAGCAGTTTGCCTAGAGCCTCCTCGTCTAGGTTATCGAGACCCAGTTCTTCTATCATTTCCCGGTTCTCCAGTTCCTTGAATAAATCTTCATCAGGCGGGATCTGCTGCGGGCTACGGTGCGCATGTTTTTCTTCTTTCACACTTTTTTTGTGTTTCTCTAGCCATCTTTGGTGTTCCTCTTCATTATATTCTTCTCGAATGTCTATTTCTCCTTCACTGGGTAGAGCTCCCTTTAGATAAGGAGTCTCCAGTTTATTCCTGTAATTCCACATAATATTTTTGAGAATATACATAATATTATTGGTTGTACCGCCAAAACTTACTGCCATAATTCTGCTTCGGTTTCTAATTTTTTTAAATGCCCTTCAGCCAAGCGTAAGCGATGTTGACATATTTCCTTTGCTTTATGAGCTGAGCATTTTGAAAAGTACCCTTGGTAATGGCCCACAAGTAACTCATTCGTATGTATCAGATGTCCAGGCATAAAGGCTTTGGTTCCAATTGGGACCATAATGTCAACAGTGAGTCTCTCAGAAAACATGTTCAGGTTCTTGATAGTTTCCTCATTTTCAGCTTTGAACGTTAGCCACCGTTCAGTCTCGATGGCATTCGCATTGATGGCCTACAAACATCCATACTTAGAATTTAAAACCCATGTACAAATCCTATTCTGGCCTATCAAACCTGTTTAAGTACATCCTCGCGCCGTTCCATGATTTCTTCTGGCACGATGTTGCCAGCGTTGCCACCTAATTAATAGTTAATGGAATGCGTTCAATGTGAATGACATTCGTTACCATTATTAGTCGTTGCCATACTGGAATAACCGTGATTTTAAATTACATCCATCTATATATATTTTTATATTTTATTTAGATCCTCAAAATATGTGTCTGTTACAAGTTAAAAATCATTCGACACAAATCAGGTAGTTTACTGTACTATAAACTCAAAACGTTTCAAACGTTACAACATATTTATCAACCTAATTATACGGATACATTTAGTCAAGCTGCTTTCACATTTGAGTTCGATACACAACACCCGCATTGATGTTGATTTTTACGTGGGAGCGTCGTACTCGAAATAGATTAAAAAAATATACATTTATAAAGCTTTTTTTCGATCAACATAACTACATTTTCTTAACTTTCATCCTACTATCAAACCCTTAAAGACATTTGTAGTCTGCTCTTGAAGTACCCGATTTATTTATTTACGTTGTGAATTTTGTTGAGCACCGGCTACACCATTGGACGATGCGCTTCCCAGTGTTGGGAATTTTTTTTTCAGGTCGTGCTCTTTGCGGTGGCTTTTAGCATCGCTGGCAAGTACAACCTGCTTACAAGTACTGCAAACTTCCAAACTTGCTAATGACTTGCGCTGGGAAGGCGTTAGTGTATTTATATGCTGTTGGTGCACAAGATAAAGCTCCTGTAAATAAAACATGATCGATATAAAAGCATACTTTTAGAGTTATGGATAAAACGCACTTGTTGCTTGGCTATGTCTGGCAGCATAGCTAAAAGCTCTGGAAATAATTTGTAAAATTTGTCGTTCAGCGCGGCTTGGCAGTGTTCGTAATATGCTTGTCCATTGCAGGTTCCATTCCTAAACTTTTGCGATAGACAACGAAATTCGGTTAGTGCTTCAGGTGATTTTAGGATATGGCTTAATTGGTCCACCAGTCGCTATTAAACAGAAACAATTATTTAAATAAAAAGCTGTATGATTTTTATGTTTACTTGATTCCTGGCAGTGATGTCTTCCGGATCGCTGTACTTATGAGTACTTGGAATAACGTTGTAGGTCTCGCCCAAGGATGAAGTGAAGGTTAAATTATTTGGCAGCTTTGCCACTGAATTGACAGTAACATTCGACATGAACCCAGGCGGAGGTTGAAGTGTGGAGCTACTATTAAATCCAGGCGGGACACGCGTAGTGTTTGATGAGCTGTCTTGGGATGATATGGCCACCTGTTTTTGTTCGTTGTTGTTTTTTTCCTTTTGCTTGGGACCATTAACTTTTGGTTGGTTTTCCTGATTATGTTTCTTGTCCTTAGACTTCTTATCCTTCTTGCTCAATTGATTGTCATTATTGGATTTGTTCCCATTGCCAATGCTGTTGTTATTAGAGCCCTTTGCAGTGGTAAGAATTGGTGCTGGCGCCACTTTTGCCTTGCGATTTTCCAACTCTCTTTGCTTCTTCTCCGATATAGGCTTTGACCAATTTAACGATGTTGTTTTTCCGATATTTCCTATATTTACATTAATCGGCTTGTTGCTACTTGGCCCAAGTGTTGGAAAGTCGGCGTTAGTTAGTTTTGGAGCAATCTTCTTCTGAGCTTCCAAACGTAATTTAGCCTCCATTTCCTCCTTGTGTACCATTTGTAACTTTTGATAAGTGCTCGGATTGGCAACCGACACATAATCCTCAACCAGAGTACGATGTTTTGCCGCCACATTAGTAATAGGGACTCCTGAGCTGTTTGGCAACATGTCTTCTTCTAAATTGCGGACTGATTTCTTGCCTTTTCCTCCAGATAGTGCCGGAAAGTCTATCTCCGTGGACTTTTTCCCACTATTCGCGCCCGGGCGGTTTGAAACATGTAAAACCATACCATTGGCCGCAGCACCGGTACGAGCAGCCCCACTTGAATTTCCGGAAGCACTTAAAGGCTTTTTAAAGACTGCTGAAACCGGTTGGCTTGAATTAGATCCTCTGAAGGGAGTGACGCCATTGCTAATACTACCGCCCCCTCCACCGAGTGCCGGAAAGTTTTCTTTCGTGCGCGCAAGTCCTGAAGTACCGCTAAGATTGCGCATTGATGGCGGTGGTGGGCCAACCAAGGACACATTAGGGGTTGCCGTAACACCACCCAGTAAGGGGAATTCATCCTGATTGCCGGCATCAATGTTAACATGTCCACGCTGCGTGCTGGTCGATGGCATTTCATCCATGAAGTTTTGGGTTTCGTCATTACTGGCAATAGAAGTAACCGTACTGTCCCATAAAATATTGTTTACCCATAGAGCAAACTTACCGTTCCATTTTACGTGGTTTACGTGGTCCCAAAGTAATTTCCAACTGCAGGGTACGTGTCTGCTTGGCTTGGTGCTTGTTCAGCGATTTGCCATGCACACTGGCTACATGCGCCTTATACTCAATCTCGTTGGGAAAAGCGCCAGTAAACTGCTCGGTGGCACACTTACCCTCCTCGCACAAAAAGTGTGCTTGGCGGAAATGCTGCGCTAAGTCATCGTAGACACTAGGAAAAACTTTTATTAGACAAACTGATTTTGAATTCCTACACTGCCACTCACTTGTAAAACTCGTTGCACCCGTTGGCATCACAAAAGTGACAGAAGAAATGCTCGCGACGGAGGTGACGGAAAAGCTCATCACGATCTACGTAGCGCTTATTGCAGTACTCGCAGAGTGGATGGCCGCGATGCGAACGATTGTCGGGATCACCTTTGGTGTTGTGTTGTTGTAATTCTGCCTTGGTATAACAGCGCCGCTCAAACGTAAATATTTTTAAATTGTCGATGCACAAATCACAATACCACAGGCTGTGTTCTCTATAAACATGATTGCGCAGGGCTTGAAAGTTGCGATACGGTGGCACCTCACACCTAGAAAGTAAGTTTCATATTACAATCAATTAGTCAGCCATTGTTGTTTAAGCAACTCACTTGGGACATGGGTGATCAAGCAGCTGAAAAAATTTCTGTTGAATTTCGGGGCTCGAGAAGGCAATGCGAAACTTTTTACTGTATAGATCTGAGCGATTGCTGGCTTCAAGTTCGCGATAGGGCAGTTTCTCGACTGTAAACAAAACCTGTAAAGCGAAAGAGTTAATGTCAGAAGAGTCTTTAATAGTTATAAAAATCATCAGATATGATTTTCTATTACCTTGGACAAGACATGCCGGCATATGGGACACTCATTTTGTTCGCACAATACTCTCATGCGGGTGGAGCATTCATAACAAACTGGATGGTCACAATCGCCAATAGAATAAATTTCCACATTTTTGAAGCAGACAACGCACGCATCATCATCGTTGGTTGAAACTTCGGATGCAGAACCCAGAAAACTACTATTGATATCAGTAGACTTTGCACCACTACCACTACTGATACCACCACGGCGTGGCTGATGTCTGGACGAGCCCGAGCCTCTTGATTTCATGTTGTTCATTTTCGACGACTATTTCTTGAACTGTTGAACACGCTTGGCGTAGTGTCTATGTGTGCTCCTCTGCCCGTTTTGTATACCCTTCGTAATATTCGTTATGCCTGTGTACGAACACTTCAAATTTCTAGTTACGCTGAAAAGATTTAGAGCTGCAGAATGGAAACCAAAGTACCAAAACGATGAAAAATATATTTTGACAGCGTGTGAATGTGCATCGACATCGACTAGTTGATAGTTTTGCACGTCAAGTGCCTGGGCTGTCCACTTTTACAATCGACTGATTGGCGATATGGCAGCTTTTCACGATGGCGCATAGTTGGCAGCTCTACAATGTGGATAATCGCAAGGAGTTTTTGTATTGCACATGTTACAAAGCGGTTGATTCGGCCGGTTCTTAAAACTTCACAGAGAACTTTAGTAACCAGTTGCAGAAATACTCAGTTACATCGGCTAATAAATCTCGAATCAAACATGTCGAAGTACGAAACCTTGGAAAAGGGCGCCCAGAACTCCCCCAATTATAGCCTTTATTTCAGTGAGTATGCAAAAATAGTCATTTGCCAGCGCGGCGTTATTACATTTATTTTAATTGATTTTGTGTTCGAATCGTAAAATTGTTGTTAGTTAGAAGTAATGATTATGCAACAGGTCCATAGAACATTGCTTATTTAAGAAAGCTCTAGCTTATCAGCAAATGCGCCGATTTGCTTTGACTTTGACAGTGGTTAGTAAATTAGTTGGCCTCGGCAAGGCCGCACAAACATATGTACATACATATGTATGTGTATATACAATATGTACATATTATATACATACATATACAATAGACTGTCTATAGAGTGGACTTTACTTTCAATGGGAAATATTTACGTGGGTTTATCAGAACGCTATCTTTATAAAGTTGTGATCTAACTTTTTAATAAAGGGGCTTAGTAGAAACCAATACCACTGGACTCTAGCTATGGTTGATGAATTTCGTCTAGACTCTTTTTTACAGACCAAAACTGTCAATCAATTTTAATATCCGCATTGCGTGTCCACTTTCATATTAATTACAACGTATTGAGCCATAATTTCTGCTACTTTTCACAGAGAACAAGTGCGGCAATATCATCTCGCCGATGCACGACATTCCATTATATGCTAACGATGAAAAAACCGTCTACAACATGGTTGTCGAGGTCCCACGTTGGACAAACGCCAAAATGGAGGTAAACAGACGCACGTGCACACGCAGCCATAATAAATCTTTGTTTAACAAATTTCATAATTGCGTGCACCGCCTGTTTAGATTAGCCTGAAGACACCAATGAACCCCATTAAGCAAGACATAAAGAAGGGTAAATTGCGTTATGTGGCCAACTGCTTTCCGCACAAAGGTTACATTTGGAACTATGGTGCATTGCCGCAGACCTGGGAGAATCCCGACCATATTGAACCTTCGACGGGCTGTAAAGGAGACAATGATCCGATCGATGTCATCGAGATTGGCTATCGTGTAGCCAATCGTGGCGACGTTTTACAAGTCAAAGTTTTGGGTACCATTGCGCTAATCGATGAGGGCGAGACCGATTGGAAAATAATTGCCATCGATGTGAACGATCCATTGGCATCAAAAGTTAACGATATTACAGATGTGGATCAATATTTTCCAGGCTTGCTACGTGCCACTGTTGAGTGGTTCAAGGTAAGTGCCAATATGAATTAAGGCACAGATATCTTTTATTTTATGATTTAATGTAATCCATACAGATTTACAAGATTCCCGATGGCAAGCCAGAGAATCAATTTGCATTCAACGGTGATGCAAAGAACGCAGAATTTGCAACAACTATCATTGCCGAAACCCACAAATTCTGGCAAACTTTGATTAATCAAACCACTCCGGGATCTATCTCATGGTATGCTCATTTGATAAAAGTGTATGCATTTTTTAAAATCTACATTCAATTTTTATTTATAGCGCTAACATTACCAATCGCAATTCTGAATTTGTTATAAGCAAAGAAGAGGCTGCAAAACTTGTTGATGATGCTCCAGATGGTGGAAAAGTCGAAGAAATAACCGACACAGGTAAGGTTTATTACGTTTCGGCTAAAGCAAAGCTTTAGCAATCACTTAATGCATGTAAAACGCACCACCACAAAAAAATGCAAAATTTGGATAAACAGTTGATTTTTTGTCCTTTTGTTATCTTTGTACCTAACACCTACTCCTGAACGTCTTGTTATTGGCACTGTTATTGGTTTATTGTTGATATTTGTTTAAATAAACTACAAATAATATATATAACTTATCGGTTTATTGTATGATATTTGTTTAAATAAACTGGAAATAATAGATATTACTTTTGTTTTACAGTCGATACTTGGCATTTCATACATCTCAAGTGAAAATGTATCTATGAGCTGTACCGCCTTGCTCCAGTGAGTTTGAATCGCAGAGCCCCTATAACTTGAATATAAATAGCACTCTATTTTGAATTTCACACATATGCAGAATGTATTGGTTATAAAAATAAATATGTTGCACATATTACTTCGTGTTTGTTTCCCGACTTTGCCGACTAATAATTCAAGCGTTGTCTCTTGAAATATACAGTTTTATTTATATTTTACGACTAGATCCAAACAATTTAAAATTAATTTAATTGTAGGTTATGTGTAATAATAAATTATATCAAAGTATGCTGTTTAGATAGGCCTATGCCGTTTTTTTGTAAAGCATGTATTTAGTTGTATAGGTCGCCAATTCTTACATATAATATGTAGTGTGTTTGTGGCCTATCTGTTTCTGCTATCGTGTGCATTTTTAGCAATTAACCGCTGATAGAAAGTAAAAGGTTGCCTTTAAAATGTAACTTAACCTTAAACAATACAAAATATACAAAATATCTTTAAATAGTATGTATGGAAATCTTTAAAAGAAAGGCAAAAGTTGTTTATTTACATCAGACGTTTGATTTGATTTTGTTCGTTTTGTCGTTTACTTTGCTTTTAATACCTCAGTGTTTGGGTGTGTATGGAAAATTAACATTTCGATCATTTTGCAAAGTAAAACTAAAAGTTAGCATAACTAATTTTAATACTAAAAGAAACTATCAAAAACAATTGTACATTTCTATTAAATTAATATAAAACTGTCATACTGTTAGACGTGTGTGGTTGTATGCTAGTTATAAGATATAGTTATGCGACTGTGTACCGCCATATGCTTGTCAAGAAAAAAAAAACAATTTTTTGTAGTACACATAGGTAATTTTTTTTTAACATTTTATTCTTGGTTCCCGTGTGATATTATTTTGTTTGCCGTTTTGCCGTGTTAGGTTTTTTTAATCGTTCGTACCATTTGCTATAGGTTTTAGCCATACATATACATTCATTGATTATTTGATTTCATAAATATGTCGTTTTAAGCATATGCATTATACGTTTAATACTTGTACTGCCTTATTGCCAACTCATTTGCGGCCCAAAGTGTCGCGCCATTCATTATATTTTTCCATGTCCTCATGCAACTGTAAGGCCTCGATGCAGGCGTTGAAGAAAGGCGACCCGAAGCAGTCTTGTCTGTTGAAAATAGAATCAGAGGTGCATTAGTATGGCTTTTTAAATAAAATATATGCAGTATATAATCTCAATAGTGAGACAAAATGCAAAAATTATTTTAGGTTATCACGCCAACATTAACTATGCTTAAAATTTCAAAAGGTTTGCATAGTAATGTGAAAAATATTCCAAAAATTTTTGGACGTGTAAAAAGGTAAAAACTCACAAAAATATGTGATATAAGAAAATTAAAAAAATATAAACTCAAAAACATACCAAAATAAAAACTGTAAACGCGCGATTTTAGTCGCGTGAAAAACGCCTGGTGATCGCTGCCGGCTGCTTCATTTGCTGTAGAGCGCCAGTCACTGTCAATCTCTCTCTTTCTCTCTCTCTCTCTGTTACGCTCTCTGGTCAGTGTCGCATTCTAATTTCTTTTTCATTTATCACAATTTTGATGCCCTCAGATAGCCAGCGAAATATTTAACTATTTTTCGTAAATATTTATAACTTTTTTTTTACATTTTCAATGCATTACTTTTTTTGTTGTTGTGTATTCTACCAAATTTTTTTGTTTGTGTTTTGCACAATTTGCGTTTTAGACTAATATTTGTTTGCATATTTTATCTTTTTGCATATACGTATATATGTATGTACGTGTGTACGTGTACTTGTATTTTTGCCAACAAATTAAGGCTAATTATATTTTTAAACGTTAAGTATTCAAAAGAAGAAAAAAAATCAGATAATTAATAGCACAAAAATGTTAATACATTTACAAAATACTCTTGTGTTTGTTATCATTATATGTATTTTAATTACCCCTTTGTTCGTGTGTGAAATTAAATGCTTTAATGCCTGCAGTACGCGCCACTTGTTTTATACAAACAATAGAAAACTTTCATTATAATTATACATACAAGGATATATTAAAAACAAATTTTTATTTTACATACATAACGAAATAATATAAACAAGCTGGAATACTTATATATAAATACTTTGAAGCGTGCTTCCCATTCTTATGGGAAGCCTGCAAATAGCTTGCACTGTGCTTCCGTGCTTACTTACAACGAACGCATAACGTTTAAATAAATTAATAAAAATAGTTCGTTTTTAAAAAAACATTAATAGTAAAAACTGTAAAGCATACAGTAATAAATAAGTACGAATTAAACTTGGGCGTTAAATATTTAATTTGTTGTAGTTGTTCTCTTGCTCAGTTTTCCACTCGAATCGAACGACATTAACTTATAAGCTGTCTGGGTTCTCATATCTTTTCATTTCTTTTTCGTTTTTTGATTGTTTTTACATAATTCGGTGTGTGTGTGTGTGAATGTGTGGTGTATGGGTGTGCTTAAAGTTATGTTTGTACCGGCGACATATTGAATGATATGGGCGAGCCATTGATTACTTTTATAAAATGTTGTAAATTTGTTATTTCTTCTGGGGGTGTTAATAGCACTTTAAGGCATTCACCAAACCATTTTGAATCAAAGCAGTCTTTCCTAAAATAAAATAAAAACAAAATAAATTGTGTGTTTAAAATTAAAATACCAAAATAATAAACCTAAGCAATATACATAATACATATTATAAATATGATAAACTATAATATTAAAAAACAAAAGCAAGTCAGTTAAAATGAGGCAAAGAAAAGTAACATAAAATTAAATTTAAAATTTATTTGAAAATTGGTTTATGAAAGGGAAAGGGGGAGCCATTGATAACTTTAAGAAATTGTTGTAGTTGAGAAATTTCTTCATCATCGATAAGCAGCACTTTAAGGCAATCTCCAAAGGATTCGTGAGTAAAACAATTAGCCCTGCAGCGAATAGATAAGAAGAAATAGAGCTTATATGATAGAAAGAAAGCGGTAGGAATGTAACAGATAAAATGAACTCGGACTTCTTAAACACGGAGCTAATAGGCTCTGTTTCAAATTCTGGTGAAATTTTGTAGAATCGAAAGGAAAAACGCAAAATCGAAACTTTTTGTTATTTTTATACATTTGTCAGTTTTTTAGTTTCCAAAAATATTACCATCAATTTTAAGATTGAGTTAATTAAAATTAAAAAAAAAGTTAATATTTTATTTAAATGCTTCACATATGTTTCAGAGAATCAATTGTTTTGTTTTTGAATAAAAAATAACTATTCAGCAATAAAAATCCGATATGCAACAAAGCCGTAACGCAGATCCCAAAAGTATGCTGCGCTTTATTTTCACTCAAGAGTTTAATTGGAAACAATCAAAATATTGACACGGCCACAAGTTTTACTTTCGAAAAGGTCACGGAATTGGGAGCAGTTTACAATAATTCAGAAACTGTTGAATCTTTTATTCTTTAGAATGAATGTGTGTACGGTTGGGCGTGCAAGTGTGTGAATGCCACGGAACATGTGAATAGGTTGTATTTAAATTTTGTTTCGTCTTAAGTGTGTCACGATCATATTTCTAATGCGGCCGTAAGAAACAATTTGCGTACCAATTCAAAGGTGGCACCTTGAAAAATGTTGGCCCTGATGAGTAGAACAGAATTTGCTAGAACGCTCAAGAAAGCAAAATCAATACCGATTCCATATTTTTGACCTGTTTAAAACAAAACTTTCCGCGCTGTTCATTTGCAAAAGAATTGGGCTTTTGAATTGGTGATCTTTTGGCCTTGTCAAAGCTAGTGGGTTAATGTTTGTTTTCTTAGAGCTTATAAAAATATATCCCTAATGTTTTACAAGTGTACTGGTACTATGCAGATGTGTTGCTGAAAAAATCTTGTTATCTAATGAAGTAAATCTTTATTTGAATCAAATAGTTATTTAAATGAGAGGTAATTAAGTGGTAGTTTATTGTTAAACTTACTTGCATAATCGATGTATACTCGTCTCACGGAATAGTTGATAGCAATCCTCACAGATGCGATCCAGGCGGAAGAACATGGTCTTATTGAAGATGCCCTTGCACTCCAGATCAAAGAAATTGCTGCGTTTCGACAGATTGTGGTTGTGTGGCAAAGCTGTGAAAATTGGAACGAGGACAAGAAACAGCACCACCGAGATCTTTATGTTGCGGGAACACATCTGCAATGAGCGAAAAGAACAAGATGCATATTGCCATAAGAACATGAGAGCCGGAAATAAGCTAAAAATAAACAATATACGAGTACAAGTATGATGATGTCTTTTTTTAGTGCGCATTTTCATCCGCACTCGCACTTCAATTAAGTCCACAGCGCCATGCCAGTTTTGACCATAACTACTATACTAAAGAACTAGGTAAATGGATATGGGCCAAGCTGAACCTTGAAATCGACGCGCACACACACACGATCGTACCCGTACCCGTCTGATGCGAACAGGCCAGGCCATGTTAGCCGGCGGCCAGCATGGCAATCAACCAACAATCAAACTACCTCAAGGTTTATGAATGCAACTGCAACTGCAACTGCGATGGCGCGGCGGTGGGACGATAACGTCAGCGGCAGTTGTGCAGCTGCCGCAGCGTCGACGGCGGCTATGGCTGTGGCTGTGGCGGTGGCGGGGGCTAAAAATAGCACGCTTGGCACTCAAGTGCGAAGTGTGTGCGTTGCAATGCTGCCCGGCTAAAAATAAACAATTTGTATTGGTTTTGGTCTTGGCCGCAACTGCATGTGCGATTGTTTTCCCACCACTCTACCTCCCTGTCTGCTAGCCAGCCTGCCTGCCAGCCAGCCAGCCAGCCAGCCTGTCTGTCTGTTCGTCTGTCTGCTCTTCTGTTTGTCTTCGGAAATGCACAAAGGTGCGTGCTTGGCTGAAAGATCGAACTGTGCGTCGTTCTGTCTGCGTCTACACCTCAAGCGCAACAGCCAGACGATGTTATCGCCGGCCTGACTTGTCTATAAATAGCGCACGAATTTCACGTCTTAATACAAATCTACATAAATTACATATACATTTGTATGTGTTTGTGTACACACATTTGTACGATTAGTAAATATATTTGCCATATGTCCACTTGGGTCCGTTTATTATGTAAGTTATGTGCATTGGCCAGTCTTTTTGCCGCCAATTCCATTGTACATAATAATGTGTCCCACACATACTTTTGTGCTGTATGTGTGCATGTATTTGTCTGCATTTTGAGTGTGTGATTAGTTGGAGACAAGCCCCCAAAAATGTATATTTTGCATATTCTATTAATTTGCGTCTTGTTGTTGTCGCCGCCGTAATTGTAAACGCGTGTGTTTCGCTCTTTTTGCCGTCACTTTCAATTACAACTCACACACACACACACACACATTCATCGGCATAAATTCCAAACTATTGAATAAGTTTATTAAAATTGCAAATTTTCCATTGCGCATTGTGCCAATTGGCGGAGCAGACCAGTGGACGAACGGACATGTGTGAAAATTTTTGTACGAACGCGCCTCAACGGCTGTGAGCACTCAATGAAAATTCAAAGCAGACACAACGTCGCTATTTCAAATAACAGCTAAAACAACAACAAATATGCATAAGTAGAAAGAGTGCTACATCTACTATATAGCATGTATGTACTGTATTTAGTACAAAAATATTTCTGACTACATATGTAGCCCTAACGATCCATACACATTATATCGCCACGCTTAACAAGCATTTCATTTAGCACCTCGAACATTTCGAAGATGCTCGCTGATACTCTCGAATCGAAATCTTCGTTTTTAATTGATTTTTTATTGCCTTGCTGATGGTTTCAATTAAGATGAGCACTGTTTTAATATGCCTTTTTGATTTATAGCAGTTCTTTTTATAGAAAACACAAACTGCGTTCCGGGTAATTGATTTCGGAAATGATGCGCAAGTCCAGAGAGCGTGGCAAAATGATTATTAAATGTTTTCTGGCCGCCACAGAAAGTCATTTATGGTAGTTGGCAAACATTCATCTGGGTGTGGCATATGTCAGGGATCAGTATTTATAGTTTTCGGTATACAAATCAGTTACATTTTAAATTTTACAGTTGCTTCTTGTTAAGTCAAAAATGAAGATTGCTCTAAATACTGAATGTTATGTTGTTGATATACAAGGTAATAACCAAAGCCGATCAACTTTTGTTCAGTTACATTTGTGGTCTTTAAAGATGAATACAAGGCAATTGTTTTACAAAATTTGAAAATTAGATTTGAAGGACTACGTTGAGTATAGCGAAATGTTTGTGCTGTGAGAGGCGTGAATCGTACAAAAATAAATATTTTGCATATTTTTGGATGATTATCAGCTTCAAAAGCCGAAGCATTCAGACAAACCGTTGGATAAATAGGTAAACAGTTATATATAAAGTTGATAAAAATTAACTGAAGGATTTTTTGTGTTAAATCTAAAAAGAATCATTTGGCTTCCTATTTGCTGAACATTTACAGAAAGACTTCCTCCGACCATATGGACCACTGTCTTAAATCTTACACAATGTGTTTTAATTAAAGCCAATTTCTGTCAATAATAAATACACAAATAGCAAGCAAATATGTCTAATTAAAGTACATCACCATAAATAAAACGATTCAATAAAATTAAATTGATGTTGACAGGAATTTTGCATTTCCTAAAATATCAATTGTAACCTCTAAGCTTTCATCTAAAAACAAATACCTGTAAATGATGCTTTCCATTATAATACAAGCATAATTTTATTGAAGATGTCCCTTCAATCGTTTGCCATCGTTTAGAAATAGATAAGGTAGAGCCTGGTTAAAACTTATTTGCAGGTATATACAACATATAATTTAACTCAATTATTGTTTATCTATAATTGATTATAACAGATAGTAACTATTATTTATTTGCGGTTTAATGCACTCCGAAAATATGATGTGTTTGAAATGTAATCTCAATCGCTTTGAATACAAATTTGCATTAACTTTTGACTCCAATTATATTTGAGTATATGTGTTTAAAAGGTGGGGTCCTCTTGTGAGTTTATTGTTAGGTGTTTTGTGTGCAGCCACGAATCTCGTTAAGAGACTTTTGGCGTGTTTTGGTATTAATTTCTATAATTAGTAACTGGTGTTACACGTGCGCACGCCATTTGTGCTGCTTGCATTGAAAAGTGCAAGTTAGTTGCGCAAAACAGATGGGGGAAATACGTATACGTCATGTGGGCGTGGGTGTGAGCCTGCAGGGAACAGGGCAAAGTGCACTGAGGCGTTTGTATTTATTTAACAGCTGTTGCTGCCTACAGAGCATATCACATTACTGATGGCCATAAATACAAATTCACTAGGTCTTGGCCCGGCCAAGCCTCGATTGCTAATTGGCTTTGGGTTACAAAATTTATGACATCTCCAAATGCGACTGAGAGTGCGAGTGCGAGTCCGAATGCTTAGTGCGCATGTATTTATTTTTAATACATTTGCCGGCCGGCAGCCGCAGAAGCATAATACGATGCCATATCATATACATATACATACATACATATGTACATACATATGTACATATGTCTGTATGTATAATCGATATGTGAAACGGACGCTTCAAATGCAATGTGAATATGAAGTTAAGGCCCTAAATCACGCGCCATTTTGTCTTATTTGTGTTGACTATTTAAATGCCGTCATCAGTTCGAGGAATTTCGCACATCTTGAAAGGAGCCAACGAACGCGCCCAGCAAACGATAGTCGTCATCATTTGCTTTATTAGCATTGTCATCATCATCATCATTATCACCATAATCATCATCATTATGGCTACCATCAGCACGTTCGCTTTTTGTAGCATGTGTTGGCAATTTGTTTGCATTGTACTTTGATTAGTTGCCAATTGATTTTATTTGTCGGCTGCCGCTTTGTATTAATTTATATTCGATGCATATACAATCGACTACATTATAAATTGGCTACGACAATTCACACACACACACACACACATACATATGTATGTACATATATTGGTGTGGCTCGTATGTAACTGAATCATTTGTGATCGCGCGCACGCCATTCGATTGCTTGATTGTTAAGCTATTTAACTTTGATTTGAATGTTGTTGTTTTCATTGTTGCTGCTGCTGGTCATTTTGCAGCAGCAATAGCAATAACAATAACAATAAAACTAACAATAACAAGAGCAACAAGCCAAATCGACATTGAATGAAGTCATATGCCAAAAATAATGATAGCAATTATAACAATTTCATACATATGCGCAATAGCTTTTTTTTAAGATTTGCGTTTATATCTTGAACGATGCTTGATGTACTTTAGATTATTACGAACAAGTACAGTATGCGCCTAGCTGCAGAAATAAATCTTACAAGCTTTATATTCAGTTCAATTGGGTTCTTTTTTCGATATCACATAATTTGTTTGTTATCATTATTATTACTGTTTCAATATGTTGTAATGTTTTTGCTTTTCTACGGAATTATCTATGGATTACAATCTGTCCGTATTCAATGCTATAAATTTCCTTTTCTTCCTATAAGTCAAGGTCCACTAAATAAATAATTTTCAATGACTTTCACAATATTTAATCAATGATTGTTGAATGGTTAATATGATTGCAAAATGGGTTGGGCTCCTGGACAAAGGTTGACTTGATTTGCCTACCAGAGCGTTGGTAGAAACACCAGCATGACCTGATGGGATTAAGTGTTATTGTCAGTTTCTAATTTAGAATTGATAACATAATACGTATGAAAAGGAATTTTAAGTATGTACATAATTTGTGATATTGCAATAGTAAGTGAAAAGAAGGTGTGTGAGTTTTAAATATTATCAGACCGTTTCATATTCTTGTAAAGTTTTTTTTAAGGCGATAAGGAAAGTGGAATTATGAATGGAAAGAAGAGTTAGAAAAGTGTTTTTTATCATACGACCGAGCTAAAATTATAAAGTATAGTTCAAACTAACAGGTGTAGGAGCAAATCTTATCAGACTTGCGGTATTTGCAATTAAGAATGCCAGGAATTTTATCATGTTCTGATATGAGTGCTGATTTCTGCAAAAATAAATCCGTCACCTGAACACACAGTACAATGACAATGTTTATGTATAAATATAAATAAAACAGAATGTACATCTACACTTTTATATATATACGTATGTATGTATGTGTGTATAGTAGTA